TTGTCCTGGGGATCTCAGCCATGAACCTTGGGATGGGTGATCTTTTTTTCCTCCCTGACAGTGGATACTGTTCAGCAAGTGACCACTTTCAGAAGTCCTACAGAGTATATTATTTTTGACACCAATGGAAACTATGTATTTAATAGAATGTAAGGTCTAAAAGGAAAACATAAAGATTATTGGCACACCAATAAAGCCAACTGGGACCAATACAGTTCATTGTTCCAAACTCATCCTTATTAATAATTAATTAATATTCTACTTCTTAAATTTCAATGAGAATGATGTAGCAAAAAAGTTTGTACATAGCTAAGCTAGTGTGAATTCCTAATTTGAAACCTTGATTGTGTTTCTACAGTTAAGGCCTTGCCCCTGAAAATGCAGATGTAAATACTTGCAGATCAACTGAAGTGATATTCATAATTGTGTTGAAAGAATATAATCCGCTTATTTCTCAGTCAACAGTAGCCATTCAAAATGTTAATGGGAATATATTTAAACATTGGAAATAAAAGATTCCTAATCTAAAAAGATGTATTTATATCCATAGTGCAAATACAGGAAGATAATTATACAGCAAATTAGCTATATTTTCATACCAGTAATATTAGTGATTAAAAAATACTGACTAGAAATGGACAGTTATCACATCATTGAAAGAACATTGATTAATTTGTAAGGGATGCTGTAACAAAGAACTACCAACTAGGTGGTTCACATAACAGAAATCCCATGGTCTTATAGCTCCAAAACCTAGAAGTCTGAAATCAGATTGCTGGTAGGACTGGCTTCTTCTGAGAACTATTAGTGATCTGTTCTAGGTCTCCTTTATTTGATGATTTTTTTCCATATTTCTCTTCACATTGCCTTTCTTTTACTCCTGTTTTTGCTATGTCCAAACTTAGTTTTGTGTTTGTTGTTGTTTATAATGATGCCCCTAGTGACCTCTTTAGAGGATGGTTTCCTACAGAACTTATTTCCAAATAAGGTCACATATAAGGTACTGGGGGTCAAAATACCAACATATTTCCTGTGTGTTTGGGAGGGGGGATAAGATACGTAATTCAACTCATAAAAGTACACAAGTCTTAAAAGTTTCTATTGGAAAAATCCTAATTTCAGTAAATAAAGTGTCAATAAATGGATAAAGAAAGATTTTTCCCATGGTTTTAAAAAATCAAAACCTCTGTTTTCAATTAGAGTTCCTGCAGTCTCCCTATTCATGAATAATATGTTCCAAGAAGAAAGAGTTTCTTCTTGGGGAAAATTGTAAAATTCTAGAAGATATCCAGGCAAATACAATTAATATATATATATATATTAATATATATTAATTATATATTATTATATATTATATATATTAATATATATATAATATAATATATATATTAATTTATATATATATAAAATTTCTATGAATCCCTAAGAAAGTCCCTACTCTTCTCCTTTATCTTACAGCATTTCCTTTAGAAAACCTGCAACTGCAAATCCATCCTCTTTCTTTTTGAGATGAATGCCAATCTTTTGAAAACCCTAGCAAGTTTTATAATTTAGGAGCATCTTTCTTAGAGTCCTTGGATCTATCTTTTTAATTGTTTGAAATGTGAATATCAAAGAAGATGACAACTAACACCACTGTCTCTTTGGGACGTTTAGCTTAGCTTCAAGTTCTACTTGAAATTGGTTAAGGCCTAGATACATTGGGACATAAATTCCTTATACAACAAAGTGTTTTTTAAGTTTTCTTTCAGGAAATATCCCAGAGGTTACTCAAGGATGATTTGGAATCACCAAATGTATACTAACAAAAAGAGGCCAGAGTCTCATATCAATGACCTTCTGACATTACAAACTTAAAATCCCCCAAGCAGAATATATCAACTTCCCTCAAAAAGAAACATATGAACTATGATGAGGCATGATGACCATCTAACACACCTCCAAAAACCCTAAATGACTCCCCTTCTTGCCATCCAATCAATTTGTCCCTCACCTTCCTATAAATCCATCTCCAACAGATTTCAGAGACAGATATGAGATTTCTGCTCTTGATCTCCCTGCAGGTCAACCTCACAAGAAATCTGTTCCCTCCCCACCACTATCACCAAAAATCAGTGCCACAGTAATGACTTATATGTACATCAGGCAGGGTCCTTGCTCAATTCCATACCTTGTTTATTATAAAGACAGAAAAGTTTTTGCTTTTCCTTTGGATAAAGAAAAGCATATACATAAATATCATGCATGTGGTTTTTTATTAACAAGGACGTAATTGACCATCTTTGTAGTCTCTGGTGGATTGCCTGGGATACATAAAATGTCTGGTTTAAATGTTTATCAAATAAAACTGTTTCCTACATTTGTGGAAAGGATTTCCAGGTTAACAACAGATTTCATTTATAATTAATGCTCCAGTAAACATCAAAACTTCATTTTGTTCTTCTTTTTCTCTAATGCAATAAACACACAATTATGCAGACATACATAAGCTTACAAATATTGAAAATAACTTCCACAATTATGACCTTGCTACATAAACTGACCCAGCATAAAACTGAATGCATACAATGGAATTAGTGACATTAAACACAGATACATTTTATGCTTTTAATATCATTTTTATTAATTATATGTCAAATACTAGGTTGTTTTCTTTACAGATAAGTATCCCAGGGTTTTGAACCTGGAAATAATTTGTTCTGATTTCATTCCTCAAAATTGACAAATCTGACCCCAAAGCCTGGCCTCTTGAGCACCTGGTGATCCCACCTCATTTTTCACAAAGCATGGCATGTTGCATCACATCAGCCCCAATTCCAGCTAGATTCCTAATTACTGGGTTTGCCTGTGGGTACTAAGACAATTTAGTCCTGCTTTCCATCCCTTCACCCCTTCTATGCTGCTAAAGTGGTATAGCATAATGGAGTTTCTGGCTCAAATATTGATTCCTAAGTTTTCCATACTGCATTGGTGTGATAACCACACAATCTTGAAAAAGTTATTTAATCTAACATTCAGTTTCCATGTCAGGAAGTGGGCATAACAACAATTTCCATAAGCCCACAAAAGAGTGTGGTAAGGTTGGACTAACACAGTGTATGTGATTAGCTTTGGAGATGGAAATCCATAGACAGAAGTGCAGAAACATTCTTACACATCAAGTCTAACAGAAGTGAAGATGCTGTCTTAAATAATAGAGAAACTAAGCACTGGGACCAGATTTCATGTCCAACTCCGTATTTAATTTCACTTCCCTATTTTCTTTCATAATAATCATATGAAATTTGTTCTCTTTCATTACTCAAAATTTGGGGATCAGCAAGAGGGTTCCCTTTCTACCCTCTCTAGCCTGTCTATTGTGTAACATGTCAGGAACTACATGTAGGCAAACTAATCAGTAACAGGGTTGTTTGAGTAAATAAAGATATTTGTTCTTGAGATCTACAAAACACAAAAATATTGTGATTTGGTGATCAGATCAGATGTGCATGATTTGGCCACAAACCTGCAACCATGGTGGGAAAGCACCACAATATCTGGTCACCCATCTATATGAACCAACCCTAAATCAGTTTCTTGGGACCATATCTCCCATTTTCCACTCTTCTAACTCATCATAATAAAATTCTTTCTCTCTGGATACTTTACTACTTGACTATTTGGCTTCTATCATACAGAAAGCAGACTGAGTTTTTCCCATGACAAAAATATGTAAAAGAGAACTCTCAGGTGAAATGTAAAAACAAATAAAAATATAAGTATCATTTTCTCTGCCTCTTATGTGTCATAAGCAAAGAAGACAACATAAACTTGTTTTTACATGTATAGAACTGAGTCTTTTTTTCCCTTTTCAATCTAGTTCTTTCGATATACTCGTGTTATGATTTAGATATGAAGTCTTCCCCCAAAGCTCTTGTGTTAATGCAGGAATATTTAGAGATGAAATGATGAGACTGTGAGAGCGGTAACTAATCAGCCTAATTTAGGTTGAATGGACTAATTGGGTGGTGGGTGTACCCTGAAGAGTCCATCTTCCTGGAGTCTCTTTCTGTCCTCTAATCTGCCTCCTGGTCATCATGAGTAGAACAGAGCTCCTCCACCATGCACTTCCACCAAGATGTTCTGCCTCACCTTGAACCAGAGCAATGGAGTCAGCTGACCAAGGACTGAACCTCTGAGGCCATGAACCAAAATAAACTTTTCTTCCTCTAAGTTGCTCTTGATAGGCATTTTGGTCACAGAAATGAATAGTCCTCTAAAAATTAATATCTAGTAAACGCTGAATACACAACAACATCTACCCACTGCTGGACCTGGTTGTTGAGAATGGAAACCAAAACTTTCTTTCCACAAAACGTGACAACGCGATTCCACTGTCTCTATTAGCATCATCTCCATCTCTTCCCAGCTGTAACCAAGTCCTTGCTTTGAAGTATCCTTGCTAAATCAAATTTCCTCAATATATTTTGACCTTGCTTTCCCTCCTCTGGGGCATTCCCAAAGCACCCCTAAAGTGGAAGTACCTCTTACTTATGGTAAACAATGAACTTGGCTTTGTCTCAGGCTATGTTGGTGACATTTTAGAATCCAGCTTTCAACAAAATCTCTGACTCTTTTAATATCTTAGGGATTTGGGGAATTTCAAATATAGATGTCATGACATAGGAAATAATTGCTAATGCTCTCAATATAACCAACATTAAGTAAATATATACATTTCCATTGTACTTAATTCTTTATAAACTTATAGTTTTGATTTATAATTGTTGATGACAGAAAAAAAAACATTTTCACCATATTTACTTGTAAAAATAAATGATTCAAATTCATCAATTCACTGTTTCAAAAAATTTTAGCTCCCAGATAGGAATTCAAAACAGCAATTTCACCTTCCCTATCTCATGGCATTTCTTTCTATACACAGATATTTCTAGTTAGTTCTTTCAACCAAAATAATTAAATCCAATTTTTTTTTGTTTTATTTTTAATGTAGGTCTTACCTTTTCCAGTTTTGAAAGAGCAAGGGAATAGCAGTCTTTGGCTCTGAACTGCATGAATCTCATGTTTGCTGGGTGAGTAAGCTCTGTGATAATACTGAGACTCGAAAACAACCTACAGTTAAAAAAAATTTGCATCACACTAACAATCCAATATGGTATTTATCATAACAACATATTTATAAGTGAATGATTCCTAGCCTTCAGCATAAACTATATCCAATTATAACAGCAGGCAGTGCCACATAAAATATTCTATACAAGAAAAATAAAACACTATTTTCCTAAGAATATTTTCAACAACAATTTAGCACAATAAGAAAGATAAATTCAATCATTTGACTTTTATTAGACATTTTTTATCTCCATAATTATGAAACAGCATCGAAGAAAACTCATAAAACTGATTTAAGAAGTTGTAAGATTAGTTTACGGGTCCTATTAAAACAGAAATATGTGAACTGGCAAAATTTTTACATGATGAGCTTCTTGTCCATTATGTGGTCTCTTTGATACCCTGTGGCTCCCTACTCTAATAGTATGCAATTCTTAAACATCAAATTTTGCTACAATGAACTTCCGAGAAGAGGAAATTATTTAGGTAAAATTTCACCATAGTGAAGCAGAGCAAATGCTATAACATTGATAAAGATGTTTACAAAAGGCTTCTGAGAATTTTCACATGTCAAATGGCTTCACACTAGCTTTCTTTTCATTTGGCCATTTTCCCAAATATGTATACATATACATACACGCATACATAAAAACATTAGATTTTCTCACCCAGAGAAAAATGACAGGATATACCGCAATAAATGCCTTTCTATATTTGGACAATCTAATCCTTACCTAGTATATATGCATCCTTGGTAGCTTTCTTGGTTCAAATAGTTTGGGATTCTCCATAGCAGCTACTTCCTATGATAATCAGCCCCACCTCCATGCAATATTTTTACACTAAGTTAAACTAAGTTCTGACCACTTAATATTCTCATTACTGGGTTGGAGCTGTAGCTCAGTGGCAAAGGGCTTGCTTAGCATGCATGAGGCCCTGGGTTCTATCCTCAGCACCACATAAAAATGAAGAAATAAAATAAAGGCATTCTGTCTACCTACAACTCAATTTTTTTTTTTTTTTTAATTCTCATTACTAGGCTGAACCCCCTCCCTTGAACTCAGGGACTAGCACTGACTGAAAATATTCAGGATATAAACAATCTGTTTGTAGCTCAAAACCAACTCAGCTTCCACTGCTCTCATCTTTCAGCAGTTCCAGTAGTGAGCGTGCTCCCATTTCTCGCTGCTTGATTCGGCATTTTGTAAAGGATTGTACTTCTTTTAAAATGCGAGCCCTGTTCCTGAGTCCTGGTGCCACAGATGATTTTTGACCTCTTCTCAGATCTAATTCCCTAATGCTGACTGATGATTTGGTGGGACAGAGCCCTCCTGCCAGGCAGAGGGTCTGCTGCATGTCATTATTCCAGAGGGGCTGGTTCCCCAGCCACAGGCCAAACTTAGGGAATACCTGCCTCAAGGTCTGTTTCTCTGGGCTTTAGGTATCACTCCAGTTGAGACACTAAAACATCCAAATGTTTCTTTTGTGAAATTTGTATACCTTCTTGGTTACTAAATGAACAAACACAGGGACTTTATCTAATCAAGGCCTTTGGGAGCTAAAATACCATCAGGCGTTTTGGGAAATCCATTGTTACTTAATCTTAATTTCAAGAACAAATATTACCATATTCCTTGATCTAGATAAATTACAGTAAGGGTAACTGAAATATTATCAACAAAACAACATTGTCAATACAGTTTCTTATGCTGATTATTAATATTGAAAATACTGTAATTTTATTTGTGCAATTGATAATAGTTCTAGAATCTTGAGTTGTTTAATAATACTCAAAATCTGAGATTCTTTAAAGGAAGGGTGTTGCAAACTCAAAAATATGGTTTGTGGAACATTTAGCACAGGGACAAACAATAGGTACTATTTCTTAGCCATGGGCATTAATATTTTCTTAGCTTCTCTCATGTTACAATTTCTGCCTAAAATGCACTTACTACCCTGTTTACTTACCTCCTCAATTTCTGTATATTGAAAGCTGAGTCATTATTTAAAGTTCCTCTCAAATCCAATTGGTATGAAAATTTAAAAAACTTTTTTAAATCAAAATCCTCCTCTCCACTTTAGGTCCCCAGTATTTGGTTCATACCAATTATTACATTGTGTTTTGCCTGTGTTCTGCTGGATTTTATCCATGCCTGAGCTCTTTAAGTAGTGACACCTAAAAAGGCAAAGTTATCCTCCCAGTGCCTAGTACTGCATTTTATATGCCTTTAATTAATAAATCTTTGTTAAAATAAATAATCACTTAATTCTTGTTTGTGTATCAGGGATGCCTGGTTTAGTGGGTAAAATGTTAAGGATGAAAGTACAACTGTTTAAACAGTAACCCTGTGTTTTTTATATGCCATCTGACTTGCTTTTTTGCAGTTCCAATTTTTTCATTTGAAAGTCATCAATGATAGTAAATTCTCTAAACTGAACTTACCTTTTCTCAGAAACTTAAAAAATTAAGAGTCTTCTCATTAAAAAAAATGTGTGTATAGATACACACTTAAGTATAAATATAAGTATATATGTATATACAAATATCATAAGCATATACACCTGTGTGTTGTGTGTGTGTGTGTGTATGCATATGATGTACATATTCATCAGTTGACTTTTGAGCCAGCAAATTCTCTCTGGTAAGCCTAAAAAAAATGCCACCAATTGCCAAGCTTATACCATCCTGGATTCTCAGAAGTATTTATTTAAGAAATATTTTTAAATGATAGTTACCATTATATGGGTTGTCACAGATAATTTATAATAGTCTGTAACAGTAGAAACTAAAATGAATAAGTAATAGTTATAAAAATGGGTCCATCAGCACCAAGCCTTATAATTTCATTTAGACAGTAATTGTTACATTCTATGCTATGAACTGTGAAAAGGAAAGTTCACTGACCCAAATTTTCTTCTTTGTATTTTTTCCATTTTATAGCTTTTGGAAAGGTAAAAAATGCCCATAAAATATTAATAGATAAAAACATGAAGCACTGTTTTAAGAACTGTCCACGTATTAACTCAAGTAATCTTCACAACAACATGTGGGAACCTCTTTGTTTCCTATTTCCATCCATACCTCCTCCTTCCTCTGGAAGTATTAAGGGCATGTGGCTAAACCTTGCCTCTATTTTTCAGTATCTATAGACATGTGCTGGTTTGCACAAGGCTATTAGGTAAGCTGAGCCCTACAAGGCAAGTTTCCTGGTTGTCAGCATGGCCCGGGACCACCATACTTGAGGGTGAATAAGAAACCCACTATTGCTACATATCAAAGTCACATCCTCCTGCCAGACATTTTGATCCCTCTCTGTCTGGCTTCTTTGTAACTCAATAGTTTCCAACTTGATTCAGAAACCAAGAGAGTCATTATCTTTTCAAACCACAGAAAACAATTCTATGATTAACCCGTGATTCTTAGCTTACAGATGAGAAACTGAGGGACAGGTAGCATTCAGGTATGTGGCAGAGCCTGACTCACCCCACAGCACTCGGGTTCCAAAGCTCTCTCCTTACCATTTTAATAAAGAGGTAGGGAGACCTCTGGAAAGGAAACTCAGAGGATCTAGATAAAATAACAAATTATTAGGAATACCTAGTTTCATATCAGGGTTTCATACACTAAGATCCATATCTAATTTAAAACTATAAACTCTACCTTTCTGTCTACTTTTAAATAGTAATTACTAGGTGATAACTTCATCATTATTATTCGTATTTTATGAAGGCAATTTTAAATATCTGATTTAACAAATAGCTATTACTGGTTTACTATCTGAAAGCTCTTGTCTCTAGGAGATACAAAGATGTATAAAATAAAATTCTTGTCATGAAACACGTCTATGAACAAATAGAGGAAACAATAAGAATTCATGAATTATAATGCTACATACATATTTCTAGTGGTGATAAATTATGGCTCACAGAATATTCCTAGATTAGGGAGCATTGAGATACTCACTAATGAATGGATAGCTTGTGAAGAATATATAGAAAAGTAATGAGATATAAGACCAGAGAAGAAATTTATGAGCAGTCATTTAACTAATGACAATTTATTTCATCTTTGAAATATTCTTTATTTTCCTAGAGAAGTATGACTTTTATCTTCCATATATGCCATTAAACTAAATTTAAATAAATTTGTAATTTCTCGGAGTTTTTGTTTATATTCCTTTTCTAGAAATTACATCAAATAGAAATATATATGTAGTTAGATATGTTTGGAGTCATAGTAAGAGTGAGTAAAAAATAAAATTGAGTGACCTAGTCATCATATTTGAATGACTTCTATGGTTGAAATTAGACAAAACAACACAATTTATGCAAAGTACCTGCATAAGAAAACCTACATCATTTATGTTATTTTAAATTGGGAAACTGAATACTTGGCTAAGACTGCCATCTAGTGAAAATTTAGAACTAAGTAATTTTTAATGAAGTACTGTATTACAGTGCCTTTTATAAAGCATTGATTATATTCAATTATGATATTCTGTATTTATAAATTTTGTTGTATAATTTTTTTAATTATGTAAGTTATGCTAATGCTACAAATCCATTTATGTGCATTAATATATGCTAAGTACATTTAAATACAAAATAGTTTAGAAATAAAGTGATATAAGAAGCATCTCTTCCCTAAATACTAAAATTATAATGAAGCAATATTGTAATTAAAAAAGTATTATAGTTTGTTCTATTTAAGCCTTTTCTATGATTATTTTATGTTTAGACTCCCTGATGTTAAGTGTAACTATGGTGATGTAACAAAATACCTATGCTATAGTTCTCTGCCTTCATTAATTTATTCGATGAATGTTTTTGCCTTGCCTGGTTACACTAACTAATAGAAAGATGAAAAATATTTTGTTATGGTTTGGATCTTAAATGTCTCTCCAAAATTCATGTGTTAAAGGCTTGGTCTAGAGCTGATGACACTGTTATTAGGTAGTGGAAACTTCAGGAGGTAGAAGGAATTGGGTCATTGGAAGAGT